AAGAAAGAAAGAAAGAAAGAAAGAAAGAAAGAAAGAAAGAAAGAAAGAAAGAAAGAAAGAAAGAAAAGATGGTGTCTTCTTTACTGACTTCCTCTTGAAGAGGACCCAGAGGTTGTAACTTAGTCCCATATACTACCATGAATATTCAGGCCTCTTTGCAACTACATACTCGAGGAAATTCCATAAACGAATCAACAAAAACACTAGGCAGACAGAACTGTCAAGACTCTCACACTGGGATGGCAAGATAGCTCATCAGACTAAAGTGCCTGCTTTGGAAAGCTTAGGCAAAAGCACGAGGGCCGCGATTAGATCCCTGGCATCACATGTCATGGCCAGCCCTGCCCGAGGGCAGGCTGAGCTGACCAGACTCCAGGAATGATGATGCATGTCTGTAATCCCAGCACTGGAGAGGCTGAAAGCAGGAGGATCACCATGAGTCCAAGCTGCATAGTGAGACACTGCAACAGCCAAATACATTTAGAGAAAGACTGTCGTACTGGGGACGTACAAAATCCGTATGATGACAGGAACCTGGAGCTGAAGGAGAGTACAAGGGATTGCTGGCCCTTATGCATAACTTCATGAGTAAAACCCATTGGGCATGAAGATTTGAGTGTAGACAGTAGGTGAAGCTGCCCCTTCTCAATGTTCTCTTATCTGTATATGCTCAATTTTGTATTCTTGTAAGTGGGAAAGTTGTTCTCATCCTCTTTCCTGAGAGGCAGATGTGTACTTATAATTGTGAGAATGTGGAGTAATTTACCTTGTAGTGAACATGCAAGAGATATCCACTTTTATTTCATTACTGGGCATAAGCATTAGTAAAATCAGTTCCCTTGGTAGAGTTAGACGTAGCATGGCAGGTGAAGTGGATCCTGAATATTGAGGCTGTAATATGAACCCACATTTGAGAAGTTCTTTTTTGTTTGTTTGCTTGTTTGTTTGTTTGTTTGTTTCAGGTGTGGGCAGCATGGAAGCCAACATCTCAGTACCTCCATATGAATCTGAATGGATGAGCCATGAGATCATCGTACGTGCTATTCTATGGATAGTCTCAATGGTGCTACTCTCGATCACCTTTGTCCTCGGTGTGCTGGGCAATGGACTGGTGATCTGGGTGGCTGGATCCCGGATGGCACATACAGTCACCACCATATGTTACCTGAACCTGGCCCTTGCCGACTTCTTCTTCAGTGTTACGCTACCTTTCCTCATTGTCTCCATGGCCATGAAAGGACTTTGGCCTTTTGGGTGGTTCCTCTGCAAGTTCACTAACATCATGATAGCCATAAACCAATATGGAAGCATCTTCCTGATTGTTGTCATTGCTCTGGACCGCTGTATCTGTGTCCTGCATCCAGTGTGGTCGCAGAATCACCGCAGTGTTAACCTGGCCAAAAAGGTGATCTTCGGAATGTGGATACTTGCTACAGTCTTTTCTTTGCCAGCTTTTATCTTCTCAAATATAGTAAATGAAAAAGGGAATGAGATATGTTTTTTATCCTTTGAATCTTTGGGATCCACAGAGGAAGAACAAATGGAGATACTCCTTGCAATATCACTACCTATGGGGATTACCCAGTTCATTTTTGGCTTCTGCCTGCCCATGTTCATCATGTTGGTCTGTTATGGGCTAATAGCTGCCAAGATACATGCAATGCGCATGATAAAGTCTAGCCGTCCTTTTCAGGTCCTCATTGCTGTTGTGGCTTCCTTCTTTATCTGTTGGTTCCCCTTTCAACTGGTTGGGCTTCTAGGCAAAGTCTGGGTCAAAGATGTTGAACTGAATGAATATAAGATAATACATATATACCTGTTACTGTTACCTCCAACAATGTCCCTGGCCTGCTTCAACAGCTGCCTTAACCCAATACTCTATGTTTTCATGGGCCAGGACTTCCGAGAGAAACTGATCCACTCCCTTCCCTTCACAGTGGAGAGGGCCCTGAGTGATAACTTTGTGAAGGCAATTGGCACAGCCATCAGTTCTGGGGCACCTTCTGCAGATGGGGTATTAAAAGAAGGGGCTTCTGCTTGTCTTTCATCTTATCCTAATCCCTCCTCCAACTCTTTTGAGCTACGCCCTTGAATATTTGCTTTGGAAAGTTACTTATATGTCCTCTGAATTGGAGGGAAAGAAATAGATAATGGGCTCTATGGGTGTCATTCTTGTATTGTTTTGGCTTAAGGATCTCAGTTACTTTTTCCTCATTGCAGGACAAAATGCCCACAATCAAAATTAAGAAAAGAAAGGCTTATTTAGCTCACAGTTTGTGGAGGTTTCAATCCATACTCAGTTGGCTCTAGGCTGAGTGGCACAAGGTCAAGAGCAGATGTTCATGAAAATAGAAAACAGCAAAGAGCAAAGGGAGGAGCTGCAGCTGCAGCAACTGTCAAGCCTCTCTCTCATCACCAGCCCAGGGCACATGTAGCACTCACACCTGTACTCTCAGCATTGGATCATTAATTAATCACAAACACTAGAAGCCCGCCCCAATGACTTCATGACACTTTGGGGAAATAATTAGGCGCAAACCATAACACTAAGTGTGTATTCTGACTGAATTGAACGTGGGGAAAGAATATAAGAGAAAAAAGACTGCTGTAGACTCCTGGGACTTAAAAAATCACATAAACTAAAAATAAAACTTAATTTCACCATTAGATAAAATGCTCACTAAGTTTTTGTACTTTGGTAAAGGGCTCACATGATTGAACACAGAGAGTGCTCAGCTGTATCTCCAGGCCTTTTAATTATATATTAATACAAAGTCTGACTTAGTTTTCTAGCCTGGTCTTGAACTTATGATCCTCATGCCTCAATCTCTGGAGTATTATAGATTATGAGCATGTACTTCTGTTTCTTAAACTTTTTCATATAAAAAACTTAAGGAGTCTTTGGTATTCCTAAGTTTGCTTAAAAAGTATCCCTTTTTCAAAAATGAATGGCTATTTGATTTTATCAAATGTACTTTGTACAAAATATCACAATGATTGTGCGTTATTATCATTGTGTTTGTGTGATCATAAATATATTCATTAATTTCTAAATTTGAAACAAGCTCTTCATCCTGGATTAAAAGGGATTCATTTCAAGTGGACATTTTCATGCTGTATTTAACAAATCTGTCACATATTTCACATGATTTTCTGAGAGCGCTGATGATTATATAAAGGTAACTGTATTATAATCATTTCCTCTAATGTCTTTATTGTGTATCAGACTTTTCCAGGTCTCCTAAAGGGATTTGGGAACTCTGAATCTAATCTCTGCTGTTGTACTTTTCTTAAGTGCTTATATTTTCACTACTGAAGCCCACAAGTTCTAGCATTTTCTTTCAGAAAAGCTTTTTAATGAGGTTCAATTTCTTCTACAGTTACTATTTTACTCAGTTATCTTTTCTTCTTGAGCTTAACATTGAAGGAGCTAACCCATTTCACCAAAACTGTCAATTATACTGGCATGAAAATACATAACTGTGCAGGTAACTTGATATGATTTCTTTAAAATAATGAGAATGGAAGCTTTCTGAAAGCAGAGATCTTGATCTATGTCATCACAGATGTATCTTTATCCCCCGTGAGTAAAAGTGACTGAATTGTGTTCATTTAATTAATGATTACTAGAATTTCTATTGAATTACTGAATTAATAAATATTTACTAGTTAATTAACAAACATTTTTACCACTTGGGTGCTCAGTGTGAATCTTTATGTAAGATGATCTCAAACCTTATGACATGAAGGAAAGCAAGTTCACACTTATAAATTTACATATGTCATTCTTCCATAGTTTTGTGTTTCCGCATGAAATGAAGGACTCTGTTTAACTGCTGTCTGGTGAATTTGTTTAGATGAACCAATTTAAAATTTCTCTGCCCATTGTCTTATTTTCTACTAGTAACTACTCACAAATGGTGTTACTTTGTTTAATACATTTCCAAATAGCAAAATAAAAGACCTAGAGTAATGATTAGTAGCCCTGTTATCACAGTCTTCTCCTCACTGCTTTACTTTTCATGTCTTTTTTCTTCTCTCATGTCATCCCTAAAGTTCTTCACTGACTTCAAGAAATGTATATTCTTAAATGTCCAACTAAGAAGTAGACACAGAAAAGGAGGCCAGGTGGACAGGAGAGTTAACAAATCTCTAACCTGGAAGAGGAAGAGAAAGCTATTTGTTCATTTTCCAATATGAAAGCACAAGCTTTCCTCTTCAAGGGTTTAACATTCTCCTTCAGGACTCCTGGTTTCTATCCTAAACCTGTTTAATTAATAGAGGAGCAGGTCCAACATCCTCCCCAGTTTTCTTCTCTGGGAATTTCTATTGTGGGTATACATCAGCTATTGCCCCACCTAACACTGCTTGTCTCTGTCACTGGAGGATTCTTCTAAATTAGGGAGAAATTCATCACACATGTAGATATGATTATGCCTTAAACTCCCAAATCTTTGAGATTATTGTCCTCAGAAACAACGAAATTACTTGTTTTATTGTATGCTTTTTATTCTGCATCTTTGTTTTAAATGTTTGATTATTACAGGGTCTCACTATGCAGTTTGGACTCATAGTGATGCTCCTGATTTCAGCCTCTCCATCTCTGTGATTGCATGCATGCGCCATCATGCCCAGACTCTTGGCCAGCTCAGTCTGCCCTGGGGACAGGGCTGGTGCACCATGTGGTGCCAGAGATGGAACTGCGGCCCCTGTGCTTGCCTAAGCTTGCCTAAACAAGCAGTTTAGCCTGCTGAGCTGTCCTACGGGGCTGAGATTTCTTCAGTTTGGAAGGAGACTCTGAAGTAATATTGAATTCTGGAGGTTGATCTATAGTAGCAATTGTCCTTGCTTCCATAACATTCTTCCGCTTCAAAAACAAACCACAAGATGATCTCAATAGACGCATAAAATTCTTTTGACAAAGTCCAACATGCACTCGTTGTAAAATTCTACAGAAAAAAAGGAATAATTGCTTCATTTCTCAACCTGATTAAAGGCATCTATGAGAACCTCCAAGCCAACATCATACAAAATGAGCAAAAATTGAAGGCCTTCACTTTAAAATCAGGAAAAAGACAAGGATGTCCACTGTCTCCACCCCTATTCAATGTAATTCTGGAAACATTAGTCAGAGAAATTGGACAAGAGAGAGAAATAAGAGGAATAAGGATGGAAAAGAAGTGAAACTATCATTACTTGTAGATAACACAATTCTCTACAAGGAGGAGCCTCAAAACAACACCAAGAGTCTTGTAGATTTAATCAATAAATTTAGCAACAGAGCAGCATATAAGATTAACACCTAAAAAGTCAATAGCACTTTGAAAACACACAGTGAATGCACTGAGAGAGTAATTTTTCACCACACTTTTCACAATAGCATTCAAAAAATGAAATACTTAGGAATCAATCTCACAAAGGAAATAAAGATTTGTATAGTGACAATTATGGTACTCTGACAAAAGAGACTGGAGTTGATTTGAGAAAATGGAAACATATTCCATGCTTCTGGATAGGAAGAAGCAACATTTTGAAAATGGCCACATACATAGATACCTCTTTCTTCTCCAATTTTGTATCCATATATCTGGCAATATAAATAACTGGTTGGAAGTCAACACTATACATTAAAACAAATACTATAAAATTCACATTGCTTTGTTAAGAGAAATCTTGTATCACTTGTAATTTTTCTGTTTTTATACTGTTTTTTACTGTCTTTAAAAAATAAATGTTTAGGGGCCAGGAAGATACCTCAGTAGAATAAGTGTTTGCTTGGCAAGTGCAGGGTCCTGAGTTCAATCCCCAGTATAACATAAATTAATTAATGAATTAATTAAAACAAAAAATAATTTTTAAAAAGAAATATGCTTCACGTCCATATTAGGAAATTCCTGCTTTTGAATATTTGCAATGCATTATACCTGCAATACAATGTATCTGATACATTCCTCAAATGCTTTCATTCATTGAGAATTTATATTTTGGAATCTCAATATGTGTTGCACCTATTTGGGCCTTGGCCTAGGACCAATCTTCTCCTGCTCAGAGGTATCATGACAGAACAAAATACAGATAACACATGTACACTGTAGTTACAAGGGGCACCCAGATGGTCAAAGCCCAAATGCAGCTTATGACCATGAGGTACAGTGTTCTTGGCTCCTATTAGGGGTACAGCTTGATTACTGTGGGTGCTGGTAAGGGGTAGGAAGAAGAAACACAGCTACATGCTTCCCTATGGATGGGCATCAGGGATTGATATTCTAAATAGGTATCAATCACCTTGAAAGAGCCCAAATGAGTCACTAGCCCAACCCCCAACAGGAAGAGACCTTGTCCCATATTCATACCCTCTTGCTACATGACTCGCTTCCCCATTTGGTACTGGATTTAATCCATTTTACCTGAGCAATGATACTTGTAATCTCATTGGTTGACCATAGTTTTGTCCCACCTCATGCCCACCTAAGCGAGTTCCCATGTCTTCTCCACTACCTTAGACCCACTTCACCACATGGTTTTCCTCTATAAAATACCCTGGAAGAGACAAATTCCCAGGGACCACCTGCTCGGGTCCCCTCTCCTGTCCCACTCTTCAGCAGGAGCTTTCTTTCACTAAATAAATATATTCTGCTCATGACCTTCGTTTGTTCCCAAAATTCATTCTTCAGTTTTAGAGAACATGAATTCGTTCAAGGTACCTTTTAGGGTAAGAGATCAGTTTCTCTCCCTGTGTCATTTGGAGGTTCCCTATATCACCCTGGCTCCCCATAATTATAAATATACTTTAGTGTCCTTATTTTCACTGCAGATTGCACTGGGTGTGGTAGATGAGAATTACCTTGGCGGGATTCCAAGCATGTATTATTTGCGATTACAAATATAGACTTCTTGGACTGAGATGAGAGCCAGGAGGGCTTCCCTACAATTGGTGCACAACATGGCCAGAATTAGTCACCTTATCAACATAACGACCACTACCAAAATCACACGCAGGTGATCCACTGGACCACTTTACCAATTTAGAGGTAAGTGAAGAATTTTACTAATTACAGTTCTCAGACACAATGAGCAAATAAGAATCTATTTGTCAAGGGTAATGTTGGAGCAATCTCAGTCTTTATCCACAAAAGAGAAAAAAATTAGTTTCTTGATTATAAAACTGTTAAAAGGTGAGGTACTAAGGTGTCATATAAGCAAGATTTTAGATTACTCCCATAGATAGCTACATTCCACCCCTCCTTTCCCATAGCTGGT